TTGGGTGATCACTCTCAATTCACATTGGGTGATCACTCTCAATTCACATTGGGTGATCACTCTCAATTCACATTGGGTGATTACTCTAAATTCACATTGGGTGATCACTCTCAATTCACTTTGGGTGATCACTCTCAAATCACGCTCTCAATTTATTCTGGGTGATCACTCGTGATTCACATTGTGTGATCATTCTCAATTCACATTGGGTGATCTAATTAAGACACAATAAAAGAGGTTATGTGACCGAGCAGCTACTTCAATGGCCCATTACTACACCAAAATGCATGATGATGTGGTGCTACTCCTTTAAATAAAGCCAGATTTACCATTAAGCTCAGTAGGCCTACACATTGATATCATATTCTAAGCCAGGTTAGGACTAATGAAACAAGAAGATGACTTTGATTTTTGTTGTCATTCTTTCAGTGGATTGAATGACATTTTGCTTGATTTGTAGTCCCAAATCGTAGATCAGTAAAGCACATCACTGTACGTAAAGTGACACTAAAGTCAGGAGATAAATCTTAAAAATACATTCAAGTACCTTAACTATTAACAAAAATGTTTCCTATTTGTGTATCACTCGGCTGTAGATCCTCAAATCATCTCTGACATTATGCTGACACTGTCCTTCCTTCTGGAGGGAATGAAAAAACAAGAAAAGAGCGCAACAACCTTGTGTGTTATCTAAGTGACACCACAGGACAGAAAGGAGGGGTAATGGCGGCACTCACATATATATCATCAGTTGGGGTCCAGCACAGAACATCACTTGTGAAGTGGAAAATTCTTTCATTTCAAACAGTGGTGAGTATAGATGGTGATTGTCCTAAAGCCAGTTCTGACCAGCAGATTATGGGGAACGGTAAAACCAGCAGACTTCCTCAATCAATGTACAGCAGAATGGAGTCAGTCAGCATTCTGCAGAGTCCTCGGTGGCGTGGCTCCCTGCGGCTGTGAGGAATTCCAGGTGTTCACTCACGCAGCTGGGTGGATCCAGCCGTGGCAACGCGTTTCAAGGCTGTCTGCCTCTTTCTCAAGCCTGCTGTACAATGATTGAGGAAGTCCACTTAGTACATCAGTATTGCTGCTCCGTCAGCACACCTTACCAACACTGCTGATATACAGTACTGCCTTCTCTACCGACTGCTGGTCAGGACTGGCTTACGTACAATCAGTGTACCTTCCACGGTTCAAGGCCATCTATACCACCCACTGCTTGACATCGAAGAATTTTCCACTCCACAAGTGCTGTTCTGTGCCGGACCCCCACAGGTGATATATATGATGGCATTTACTGGTCTCTTGTGAGTGCCGTCATTACTCCTCTTTTCTGTCCTCTGGTGTCACTTAGATAACGCACAAGGTTGTTTCACTCTTCTCTTGTTTTTTCATTATCTTTACAGCTTGTTTTCCTCTGCTTATATACAAGAGCAGCACACCCAAAACATCCAATACCTCGACCCTTTGGGAACCCTGTTTCAGTGTACTGAGGGATTTTTACTGTTTTTAGTGCTTTTCCCTCTGGAGGGTGGCATGGTCCCTGTGTGTGTTGTAAAGTAGCCGCCACTCTAAGCTCACTCCTATGATGGACTACAATCCCAATACAAATTAGTAAGCTAAATGCAAGATTGACCATCTTTGTACAATTCTCTTCATAATTACCAAACATATTGTATGCAATCAGGCAGGTCCTTGCACCACATAGTTGTTGGTAGATCTAAAGAAGACTGTACAATCAGATTGTAACGTGTGTTGTGAAGGAGAGTATTTAGTAGTGTCGTCTGGTCTTTAGCACTACATGTTTGCACTCTGTTTCCATTTAGGAAATTATCTCAGCAGTGGTAGAAGTTTTCTCATTAGACTAAAATATAATCTACCTGACCTTCTTGTAGTTGTACTTTTCCCACTCCATCATATTCAGCACAAGCTATGTACATTCGATTTTCTTTTTTTAACTGCCATTTATAATGTCACTGTGGAAGTCGGAATGAATGCAACTCTTCAAAGGATTAGTAGTCCCTAGAAATAAAAATATGTGAAGTATTTTTACTTATGAGCTAAACCCTGCAGAGTTTTAGAATAGCAGAAGCTTCTTAGCTGGCAGGAAGCCTGTTTGGCAGCTAAACTAACAGGGATAAAAGGCAGGCATTTCATTGGCGGAAGCTGGCGGCCATGCCATCACAGCGCCATATACGGCCAATAGACAACTGCAGTGTACTTTGTCACCTCTGCGCAGAACTCCCAATACGGCTTCTAAGAATCCGATGCATCAATTAAACACAATCTGAACACGGCATCAGCTTTTCTCCTGTATTGCTGTGCCTGTGTTTATGTTTACCTAGGCAAAGGATAACATTTTAGAACTTGTGTCATTCTGATGAATGTTGTAAGCAAAGTCTGTATTTACTAATGGATTGTGTTTCTTCAATTGCCCATTAACTGCACTTAGCCTAGCAAATCCAGCCATTCAATGAAAGACATTTTTTCATCTGATTACAGGTTCCTGACTATTAAGGGATGATTGCGTGTCAGTTCATATTTGAGATATTTGGTAATAAAAGCATGTGGCTCTTGTCTTATAAACAAAATTAATAAATATGTGATTTTTTTTTTTGCAGAACATCTATATATACATACTGTATATATAGAGAGATATATATAGATTTATATATAAATCTATATATATCTCTCTATATATACAGTATGTATATATAGAGAGATATATATATCTATACATATCTATATATATATATCTATATATGGATGTTTTTTATAATATAGAATATTGAATATCATGTGCGAACGAATCCAAATGCTCCTTTACCGAAAATTCGTATCTGTCCATATTTCGTTCAAAACTAAACTAAATCGGACATGTCACTGTTCTCTGGCCAATAATGTTTTCTGGCTGATGGGGGTTGCATTACAGGCATGGTCATGTGACTTCCTGTTGTGGATCTTTCCAAAACAAAAATTTGGATCGGATACGAAATCCCAACAACAAACCGAATCGAATTTCGGATGCGAAATCAGAAAAATGAGAGGAAAAAAAACTATATATATATATCTATATATGGATGGTTTTTATAATATAGAATATTGAATATCATGTGCGAACGAATCCAAATGCTCCTTTACCGAAAATTCGTATCTGTCCATATTTCGTTCAAAACTAAACTAAATCGGACATGTCACTGTTCTCTGGCCAATAATGTTTTCTGGCTGATGGGGGTTGCATTACAGGCATGGTCATGTGACTTCCTGTTGTGGATCTTTCCAAAACAAAAATTTGGATCGGATACGAAATCCCAACAACAAACCGAATCGAATTTCGGATGCGAAATCAGAAAAATGAGAGGAAAAAAAATCAGAATCGATACGAATCAAACACAGATTTTTAGCGCGGTTACGTGTCTAATTGTTTCTTGCTACAGTAGATAGGAAAACGTCATCAGGCTCAGTAGTGAGCCACTTACTTTACAATAATGTGAATCTCTGGATTGGAGTGCTGATGACTATTGTATTGTGAGCGGTGCCGTCTGCGGTCATTGCGAGCACCCATTAGCATTGGGACAGACCGGTAAGGAGTGCAACATGGTATATAGACATTCATTGTTTCTTGCTGGTTTTTGGTACTTCTGTTAAATATTGTAACTGTAATGTCTTCCTTATATTGTAGAGAGCTGCACAAGCTGTTGGTGCTCTATAAATCCTGTATAATACTGATTTAAAGGGGTTAAACAGAGAGTGAGTCTGTTTCCAGTATATACTGTAAAGGTTTGCCACAGTCTTTGTAACCGTAATAATACAATCTTACTGTGTGAACCTACCTTATAGAAGAACTTAATTGAATCTGTGTTTACTATGAGACATATCGTGTTTTCGTGTTGATGAGCCAGTAAATTAGTATGCAATCAGATTTTATTGAAGAAAAAACAAGCAATTTCAGTGGTATAAATGATACAAATGGTGGTGGTGGTGGGGATGGGGGTTCGGGGAGGGGGGGATTGGTGCAGTAAAGAAACATACATAGCTCAACTGCGGGAGTAGTCAACAATATCTGATAGTAGAGTGACACATATAAACAGTTTGATGAGGCAATACAATATGAAATACAGTATTTATGAATATATGCGTTTGTTACTTTATAAATACAGGCAGCCATAGCTCCGGCTGATCCTTCTGCTAGCTTCGGCCGCCTGAGCCCTTCGGTTCAGTAGAACTGAAGGGCTGCTGTACGGGCTATACACTATAGCCCGTACAGCTCCCGCAGCTGGCCTAGCAGCTCAGTCGAGCCGACGGCATATGCCTCTGCTCGACCCAGCCGAAGTGAAACTCGAAGCGGGTCGAGCACCCGGCCATTGGCTGACCGAAAGTCTCGCAACTGACAGCTGGGTGGAGTTGGCCAGTTCCAATGACAGTTCAGCGTCCCCTGGTTACCGGGTAGCCAGGGGATGCTGAACTGTCATGAGAGCTCAGCGCAGCTGGCCGTGATATCACCGCCGGCTTTACTAAGCTCTCATTGTAATGACAGTTCAGCGTCCCCTGGTTACCTTGATATCACGGCCGACTCCGCTGAGCTCTCATTGTAATGACAGTTCAGCGTCCCCTGGTTACCCCTGGTTACCTTGATATCACGGCCGACTCCGCAGAGCTCTCATTGTAATGACACTTCAGCGTCCCCTGGTTACCCCTGGTTACCTTGATATCACGGCCGACTCCGCTGAGCTCTCATTGTAATGACAGTTCAGCGTCCCCTGGTAATTGTTTTCTACTTTTTTTTTACTGTTTTTCTATTCTGCTCGGTACAACGGAGGTACTGAGCAGAATAGCCGAGCTAAGTCTTTTGTATCCTTTCAAGATTTATAAATCCACATGATTACTCTTTTAAGATTTTCCTTTGATTGGAGCAGGTCCTGATTTTCCTCTTTCTGTCAGTGGCTATGCTTACTATGTATCACATTGTCATTGTATCTCTGCATGTTACAGGGGGCTGCCATGCATTCACCAAGACCCCTTTTCTGCCAGCGACCTTCACGAAGGAACTGAGTAAGTGCAACATTAATAAACTGATGACTATTTTTCTCTACTTCTTTATTGTAGATACTGCCTCTACAGACACTACATACAGCACCACCTTCTGGTGTACAAGCAAAGGCATATTTACCTCTCCTGCTACCTGCAGCACCAAACACCACTATAATGCTGAGTGATCTCTTGCTAAAATGTTTTACCAAGATAAATACCGGTACTTCCAGAAGTGTCAATCTCCTGGGTCCCCCCACAGTGCTCAATGGTTTCTCTGGCTGACCCCCATGCCAGAGAAACCATGAGTGTGGTCAGCAGGCCAGGGCATTGTAGCCACCTTCTACAGGGAGGAAGGTGGTGCTGGGTTGGATACCTTTGGTTGGACATTTCAGAACTATGGAGATTACGCAAGCAGTTTGAGTGCTCTTGGAGCACACTGCAGTCCTGGAGCACGTGCTGTGCTCTGACAGTAAATGACAGTCACAGAATTCTGCAGGTTACTGTAGAATGTGAAGCTGCCGCGTTCATTCCATAGACATCTTCAGGATATGGCTGACAAATCTACAGGTACCAGCTGAAGTCTCCTGGGCAGCCTGCAAACAAGCTGGAATTCAAGTCTTTTATTGTAACTGATTTCAGTGCTATCTCAAAGGAATCATTTACAACAGTATTACTGATTGTATTACCTATAATCTCTAGGCAATGGCCTGAGGGAAAAGCAACGTGAGGCTTGGATTAAAATAGAGATCTCTGTCTATATTTCTATCCCTTGTGAATGTAGATATGCAATCTGCTTTGTTGGAATAAGAGAACTGTATTATGTCTGGTTCTGCAGAATTAGAAAAGGGGGAGCTGGCCAAGGTATTGTAAAAAAACATGCACAGACTGATGCGAGGCGGGTTATAATTAATCAGTGAAACCGCTAGACAAGAGATGATGGAGCTAAATCAAGTCACACATAGACATGTTCTGTATTCTATCAGCTGTTAGCCTTAGCAAGTCAATGGTGAAAAACAAAGTTACAGTATCTATCTATCTATCTATCTATCTATCTATCTATCTATCTATCTATCTATCATCTATCTATCCCTTTCTCATATCTAATGTCTCTATTTATTCATCTTTTTTTCATTATCTATCTATCTATCTATCTATCTATCTATCCATCTATCCATCCATCCCTGCCTCATAGTCTCATATCTAATGTCTCTATTTATTCATCATTCTATCTGTGACGGACTCCCTGATACCCCAACTGGATATCTCCATCTTAAGGCTGTTCCTATAGGGTGCTGGAACCAGAAGCAAGTGAATATAGCATGGGCTTACCCCAAGATTCAGACAGCACTGACTTTGGAGTGGAAACATGAACTGGTGTATTGCAGAAAGCACACAGAGTTTATAACTCACAGAATCAGATAAGAGTTCAGTGTGTTACCTTGACCAATCCCCTCCCCCAGACAGCCGGGTGCTGCATTGGAATTCCTTAATTAGATAAGAGCTTGATCACATCACCCTAAACAATGGCCACTCCAGACAGCCTGCTGCCTTCACAAAAATGGTTCAAATCAAGTCAAATACTGACCTGTTCTCTCTCTAGATGAAATATTAAACAGGAAAACACACACAGCAAACAAAGTTCTCCGGGGAATAAATCTCTGCAGCCCTAGGTCCGTCACTCTATCTATCTATCTATCTATCTATCTATCTATCTATCTATCTATCTGTCTGTCTGTCTGTCTGTCTGTCTGTCTGTCTGTCTGCCTGTCTGTCTGTCTGTCTGTCTGCCTGCCTGTCTATCTACCTACCTGTCTATCTGTCTGTCTGTCTGTCTATCTATCTATCTCTCTATCTATCATCTATCCAACCCTGTCCCATATCTAATGTCTCTATCTATTTACTCATTTGACCAGTTGATTTCGCCATTTACTTTTGTCTAAGGATACGACCTGAAATTTCTTCCCCCATCAGTGATGGCAGTCAATCAGCTGCAGTCACTGTTCTGGTATGTTGACAATGGCACACTGCTGTCCAAATAAAATAACCTGGTAATATGCACTGTGTGCATGAGGGAATTGGCCCTAGTATGTGGTATTCAAACCTTAGATTATAAGCTCCTGAAGGGTAGGGACTTATGCCATAAAAATGCATAAATATGCCACGCTATATAAATACCTATAATGAATGTCTATCTATCCGGTTAGTCTATAGGGTTTTCTTTCTTTAGCTCCACCTGTCTGTCACTGTGTCTATCATTTAAGAATAGGTAACTGGTAAAATCTAGTCTACATGGTGTGATTACATTGCTGTGGTGGATTGATTTAGAAAAATGTCATTTAAAAAAAAAGCTTGAATATTGGAGAGTGCGTTTTTATTAACTGTTGTGTCACGCAGTACAAATAGTGCAGCTTTGACTTCAGCAGAACAGCCGATAAGCTAAAGAAAAGGAAATAGTCACTGTATTGTTAGCTAGTATGAAAGTATGTATTTATATTCAGTGCCAGAGCAGCAGGAAAGAAACTAATTACACTTCAATAATCACTTTGTCCATCATTCAGCTGAAAGCACTGTAAACTTTGTGTTGTTATTAAATGGATTCAGACAGGCTCTACCATTAATAAATGTGTTTCTGAAGGAGCTTACAGTTTAATGTCGCTAACACACAGTGTAGGGCCACTTTAAATGGTAGAATTTTAGTTTCGTTGTATTTTTTTGCGCCTGGAGGGGGGGCTAGGTGACTAAAACTGGCTGTACACTGGTCAAATTTTTTAGTACCGCTGACACAGATGAAATTTGACCAGCATTTTGTCCCTCGGGACCCCCATTCGACAAATGTCGATTTTCCAATCAATTTTTCTTGAAAGAGCCAGTCTGAAAATTTTCAGCTGAACAGTGGCTGCATCCAATCAGCTGCAGTCACCATTCAAGTATTCTAAAAGCAGCACACCCATCACTGTAAGATTTCAATAGCCCAGCTGGGATTCCCCCATGTAGGCCTTTTTTTGTATGGCCAGCTTTAAATATCTAGAGCAATGGTCTTAGACATACTTAATATAAGGGGCATCAAGTGTGGCCCCTTATTTCATGTTGTTGTTGGAGAATAGGGACATGCTTTAGGAGTTCTGGAAGACTGGAAACATGCTATAGGAGTTGTTGAAGACTGGAAACATGCTATAGGAGTTGTTGGAGACTGGAAACATGCTATAAGAGTTGTTGGAGACTGGAAACATGCTATAAGAGTTGTTGGAGACTGGAAACATGCTATAGGAGTTGTTGGAGACTGGAAACATGCTATAGGAGTTGTTGGAGACTGGAAACATGCTATAGGAGTTGTTGGAGACTGGAAACATGCTATAGGAGTTGTTGGAGACTGGAAACATGCTATAGGAGTTGTTGAAGACTGGAAACATACTATAGGAGTTGTTGAAGACTGGAAACATGCTATAGGAGTTGTTGAAGACTGGGGACATGCTATAGGAGTTGAAGACTGGAAACATACTATAGGAGTTGTTGAAGACTGGAAACATACTATAGGAGTTGTTGAAGACTGGAAACATGCTATAGGAGTTGTTGAAGACTGGAGCATGCTATAGGAGTTGTTGGAGACTGGGGACATGCTTTTGCAGTTGGTGGAGACTGGGGGCATGCTTTAGCAGTTGTTGGAGACTGGGGGCATGCTTTTGCAGTTGGTGGAGACTGGGGACATGCTTTAGCAGTTGATGAAGACTGGGGGCATGCTTTAGCAGTGGTTGGAGACTGGGGGCATGCTTTAGCGGTTGTTGGAGACTGGGGACATGCTTTAAGAGTTTATGAAGACTGGGGACATGCTTTAGCAGTTGATGAAGACTGGGGACATGCTTTAGGAGTTATGAAGACTGGGGACATGCTTTAGGAGTTATGAAGACTGGGGACATGCTTTAGCAGTTGATGAAGACTGGGGACATGCTTTAGGAGTTCATGAAAACTGGGGACATGCTTTAGCAGTTGATGAAGACTGAGACATGCTTTAGGAGTTATGAAGACTGGGGACATGCTTTAGCAGTTGATGAAGACTGGGGACATGCTTTAGGAGTTCATGAAGACTGGGGACATGCTTTAGCAGTTCATGAAAACTGGGCACATTCTTTAGCAGTTATTTGAGACTAGGGACATGCTTTAGGAAACAGTCATAGGCTTGAGACATTAGAATGCTAGAGATCACTGATATTTCAGCCCCTTTTAAATCAGTGCATGTGCCACATTTGATATTCTCTGAACAGGATTATTATAAAAGATAAGAGGAAACATAATAGTGTGGAATAAATAAACCAAATAGTTTAACTACTATAAGGCAGTCTAAAGAATATGTTTCTTTCACTGGCTTGTGTAAACCCCAAAACACAGAATACTGTCTGCATGGGAGGGGCCCTGGCCACATAAAAAGGGCCAAAGGACCACAGGATGGGCAACAGGGATCTAGAGGAAAGTAGAGCTGCAGCTAACGATTATTTTCAAAATCGATTAGTTAGCCGATTATTACGTTCGATTAATCGGTTAATCGGATAAACAATAAAATAAAGTTTAAAAAATGGCTCCAGTGATGGGACTACTAGTTTGTATTGAGGTTGTAGTCCATCACAGGAGCAAGCTTGGAGCGGTGGAAGTAAAAAAAAAAAAAAAGATAGTGTGGTGTGCAATATAGTGAAATGGAAAGTGTAAAATTATACAGCAATGAATGCAGAATGGCACCGGCTATAGAGGACTACAAAACCCAGCAAAAGCACATTATACAGCACAATGCAGAATACCGCCAGCTATAGAGGAATACAACAAATCCCAGCAATAGTACATAATAGCTGGCGGCATTCTGCATTGCGCTGTATAATGTACTATTGCTGGGTTTTGTAGTCCTCTATAGCTGGTGGTATTTAGCATTGTACCACTTTATAATGTATTATTGCTGGGATTTGTTGTACTCCTCTATAGCTGGTGGTATTCTGCATTGCGCTGTATAATGTATTATTGCTGGGACTTGTAGTCCTCTATACAGCGCAATGCAGAATATCACCAGCTATAGAGGAGTACAACAAATCCCAGCAATACATTATACATACAGTGTATAATGTATTGCTGGGATTTGTATTCCTATGTATAATATACAGCACAATGTACCATCAGCTATAGAGAAATACAAATCCCAGCAATACATTATAGAGCACCATGTGTGGGAAAGTGCAGTCTTCCAGCAACTTGCTTCTGAGATCGGACCTGTCTATCAGCGTTTGTCATCCCCCCACACCTGCTCCTCCTTACTACATCTCCCCGCGTCCCTGTGCCGATCGTGGATGTGGATGGGCAGGAAATGTGAGGCGGGGAGGAGGTGCGGCGTGTGGAGCGTGGATGCGAGCGGGTCTGGCAGCCGCGAGCGTGAGGTGAGGAGGAGGTGCTGCGCACGGCGTGTGGAGCCGTGAACAGGGCCAACTGATCAGAAGCCGATTAATCGATTATTGAAAAAGTTGACAACTTTTTCAATAATCGATTATAATCGATTATGTCGATTAGTTGTTGCAGCCCTAGAGGAAAGCATTAATACCATGTAGCCTGTGTCATTGGTGGGGGAAAAAACAGGATGCCAGTGCTAACGAATTTCGGTCACACTTTAATGTAAAAATCATTGGTCAGAGCATCATTCAGTCAATTAGTTTAATTCGAAAACTATTAAAATTTCCACCAGACCTGCTACTTGCATGAGATCCCAGGTGTATTAAAAAGTTTTCTTTTGTGCCTAGCACATATGCATTACAATATGTACAATGTTTCCTGAACTGAAATTACATTGCAAGTTAGAATTCATTTGTTCCGATAAGATAACAAACATTTTCCATCCTGGGCCTTCACATTTTATCGTGCATATGGTCAAAAACGAGTGTGAGTGTACATTTGCCCCCAATAACCATTAAAATATCATATCAACGTTCCGAAAACAAATTTTCTTCAAACAAAATTCTCCTGGTGTATGGCCAGTTTTTTTTTTTTTTACGTTGCCTTTTGTTTAAGCCTTCACCTTCACATGTTCATTTTCAAATTTAAAATACTATTTGAATAGTTTTAAATGGAGAGTTTTAGAAAATAACTAATTTTCACAGTTCCGGGATGGTTTTTGCATGTGTGCTGCAATGCGTTGTTACAACACAACACAGTGCTTGCTTTATTTTTAAACTTTATTTAACTTTGACATTTTCACATTCTCATTTAACTCTAAGCACAGAATTGCATTGTTGTGCTCTGCATAAAAATGCAAACATGCTACTTTTTTATGCAACACACACCAATGCACTTGAATGATGTGAACAGGGCACCTAGAGACAGGGCATACCATGCTTATTATTAGAAATAGTTCTTGCTTTGTGTAATATATATTTCATGTCATGTATCTTTCGACAGAATGAAGAAGTGTAAGTGCTGTACTACATTTCTCCTGAGACAGAGGGTTATCTTCCTCACCTGCACTGTGTCTCTCCTGGGTATCCTAAAACTTATGAACGTTGAACTGATATTTCCTAGATCTAAAAGTTATTTCGTGGAACCACATCTTTTTTTTCCTCCTATTTCTAAAAACATCGCAGAAAATAATCCCACCAGTGGCATTAACTGCACAGCCATATTTGAGCTGGAACCCTCAGAGATTGGGAAAAGTTTAGAACTTCGGAGGAGACGTATATACGACCTTGATGATGAAAAGGTTTCAGCAATGATAAAGAACTGTGAAACTTACAAGAATCTACGACGGTACCATCTTAAGGCTTTCACAAAGGAAGAAACGGACTTTCCTATAGCCTATTCAATGGTTGTACATAAGGATGCTATAAATGTTGAACGTCTTTTGCATACAATATACAGTCCATATAATGTGTACTGTATTCATTATGACCAGAAATCACCTCATGAATTCAAGACAGCCATGAACAACTTAGCCAGCTGCTTTCCCAATGTTTTTATTGCATCTAAAATTGAAAAGGTGATTTATGCCCATAGTTCCAGGCTGCAAGCAGATTTGAATTGTTTGTCTGATTTGCTGGCCCATCCCATTCAGTGGAGGTATGTCATAAATTTGTGTGGGCAGGACATGCCACTCAAGTCAAACTATGAACTTGTTTCTGAACTAAAAAAGCTTGATGGAAAGAACATGCTTGAGTCATCAAAGCCAACAGATTTAAAGAAACAACGCTATACCTTCCATCACGAGGTAATGTTCGTATTAAGCCTTGATTACATGAAAATGCCCAGCAAAACATTTACTGCGAAGAGCCCACCACCTTCTGGTATTGAAATGTACGTTGGAAGTGCTTATTTTGTTTTAAGTCGTGCTTTCATTCAGTACACTTTTGAAAGTGCATTGGTTGTTGAATTTTTTGAGTGGAGCAAGGATACCTTTTCCCCAGATGAACATTTTTGGGCAACCCTGGTTCGTATGCCTGGCGTTCCAGGTGAGATTCCAAGGACTCAAGGTGATGTAACAGACCTTGATAGCAAAACTCGTCTGGTGAAGTGGAGCTATCTCGAGGAAAGCCTTTATCCACCATGCACCGGCACTCATGTTCGCAGCGTTTGCATTTATGGGGCTGCAGAGTTAAGATGGCTTCTTACTTCATCACATTTGTTTGGAAACAAGTTTGATCCAAAAATAGACCCTGTTTTAATTAAGTGTTTAATTGAAAAGATTGATGAACAGCAGAAAGAATTTGTTTCTTTATCATCAAGATGATATGAAAATTCTTTGGGGGGAATTTATCAAAACCGGAGCAGACAAAATATGGAGCAGATTTGCAATGCAACCAATCAGCTTCTATCTCTCATTTTCAAATCCCAACTGAGCAAACTGAAGAGAGATGCTGATTGGTTGCCATGGGCAACTGCTCTAATTTCTGTCTGCTCCAGTTTTGATAAATTCCCCCCATTGTTTTCTACAGTAAACTTCTGCTTCTGGAGAGCTCAAGGATCCATGCTTGGCAGTAAAATTGCCATTTGACCAAAGCATATCATTTATTTGTTGTTTAAAAACGACTGTTTATTGCAGAATTAATTTTGTGAGAAGGGGTTACTTAAAATGGCAAACAATGGTGTTGTCAATAGTAGGCTTTCTAAGCTAAGGGACTTTACATGATGAGCAACCACAGATCATACCATTTACTGTTTCAGAATGGCCTGCAATACTGGGACATGCATACAGAGAAGTTTACAAGCCAAGGTCCTCCTTCACAGTGTATATTGTGACACCGTGTCCTGTGCTATTTGGCCTTTCAAAGCAAATGCTGAGTCTCCGCACAATTGTTGTGTTTGTTAAGGCTTCTGATAACCCCTGTTTTTAGAATCCTCAACAAGCAAAGCAATGTCTTAAGGAGACCACCAAAACCCCATTTTGAGTGCAAGTGATCACTAGTTTTGGTACTGCCCACCATTGCATGTGACGCCTGCTGCTCAGGTGGTGGATCCATCATTGGTATTGTAGTTTCTGATCAATCGAAGTACCAAATGTATTTTTGTGGTTTTCAACAATCATCTGGGACTTTATTGTGCAATACTTATATACTGCAGATTTGTGGTCCTCTACCCTTTTGTCAGCAGTAAAATGTTTGTATGTGTTGTCAGGGAAACACAGTTAAATGCACACCTTCCATTTCAAAACCTCATATCAGGACTAGTTTTAGCATTGACCTGATCAATTTATACCACACCCAGACAGTCCTCTACTCTTATGTTCCCAGAAAACCATTCCCAACCACCCCCCCCCCCTTACAATC